GCGTGATCAAACGTTTTTATAGGCAAAGTAAAACATATCAAGTATGAACTACATACACTCAATTCAATATCTATTCAATAAGTTTTAGCCAACTAGCTATTGCGACACGGATTTGAGTCAATTCTCCACATTCAAGATAAGAAGTTGAGTTTTACAAAATGTGACCTATATTTCTCATAAAAGCACTAAACTCATTGTTTGTCAATGTTTTAGACAAAGAAAAACTCAAACTTGAGAAACGATAAACCTTCTCCTTCTAAGACATTTCTTCATAAGTTAGTTTTTCAAAAATGTTGGTGGTCAATTTGTTAAAATGACTAGTCTTTCAAAAACATCTAGGTTGTCACCCCGTCAAGATAACCATTCTTCTAAAAATGTCTAGTTGGTCATATTGTCGCGATGACCAATCTTTCAAAAACATCTAGGTGGTCACCTTTTCGAGATGATCAATCTTTTAAAAATGTATAGTGGTCACCTTGTCCTAATGACCAAACTTTCAAAAACATGCAAGTGGTCATCATGTCAAAATGACCAATCTTTCAAAAACATCCAAGTGGTCACCCTATCGAGATGACCGAGTCTTTCAAAAGAATCCATTATCATAATCCAATTTATCTTCACTCTAAGAGAGTTCATACATTTGTTGTATTTTTTTCACCTTGAAAGGGTTGACATTTGATGGAATTTTTTCACCCTACGAGGGTTCATATATTTAATGAATTTTTTTCACTTCATGAAAATTCATATATTTGATGTATTATTTTCACTCCAAGAGAATTAGTAGATTTGATGGATTTTTCTTCATATTAAGAGGATTTTTATATTTGATTGTTTTAGTTTTCCAAATCTTCACTCCGAAGAGTCGAGCATATTTGATAGATTTTGTTTTCTAAAATCAAATCATCCTAAGAGTGTTCATATATTTGATTTTACTTTCTTTTCTATAGTCAAATCATCTCTAAGAAGGATCATACATTAGGTTGCTTCTTTTTTTCAAAATCAACTCACTTTGAGACGGTTCGTATATTCATGTATTTTTTTTTTCAAAAATCAAATTGCATCGGGATGACTCATATATTTGATTCATTACCAAAATCATATCACGGACAAGAGATTCATTTCTCTAATTTTGTCAACATTTCTTGTAAAGCTAAGGGGTCACGTTGTAATAGTTTACTATTCTTTTCATCTTCATGTCTCTTCTTTACAAATCTTATTATGTCAAGATCTATAAAGACTTCTCTTCCTATATTTTTTGACACGTAAGCTTTGTAAAGAGAGAGCAATCTGTCATAACTCTTATTTTTGCTTCAAAAAAATAAAAATAAAAAACTAAATAGTATAAAAAAAGTTAAAAAAAAATGAGAAGTGGGGTTATGCACCCTAAGCATAAGCCTAGCCCAAACACCAAACTTTAGGTATGGAATCCATGCCCAAATCAGCCGAATTAAAAAAAAAAAAATCCTAAATAAAACCTTAGGTAGAATACTATAAATATCACATTATATTTCAAACAAGAAAGAGGGCAAAAAAAAAAAACAAAAAAAAAACAGATGAAGCAAGACGTACAAAAAGTCGAAAAACCACTAGAAAAAAATACACATAGACACGAAGACTAGATAATTAAAATCTCGGGCACACAACTAAAGGAAAAAAGATCTAATACTATCGGGATTAGAGAGTGAGAAGAAGAAAGGATGTAAGAACTTCACCTCTTGCTACTCACCACCTCCGACACTTCTTGAGACATGCTCTAGACATCCGGAATCGGTTGGAGAAGACAAAGCTAATGTCGGTGGTCCATCCTTATTTTGATCCTTGAATTTGCCTCACACATACGATTGGAATTGTAGAGGCCACAACCATGCACTCCATGCACCTATTTTACGAGTCGAATATTCATCTTTTTCAATTCAATTTGGTCCTCACTTTTTGTGGGTAATTGTAATTGAGTCCCACAACCAACCCATCAAATTAATAAGTCCTTATCCTTTCTTTATCTATTAACTCTTGATTTTTTTTATGTGATAAAATTATGTTGATTTCTTATGAATTTTATTGATTTGTTGGTCAATTGAATAGATTTGGAATTTGATTAATCGATAATATATTTGAGATATAGGTCGAAATGGCAAATTGTTGCAAACATGGACTATTTTTGTTACTTTTTAATTCGAGAATGTTTTTGACGTTATTGTTATCCGAATTTTTAGCATGTTTCAAATAAATGTGTCTATAAATGATATTTCAAATATTATTATTTTATAATATTTGGTATTTATTTTGATTTTATCTCGCACATGTGTGATTTTGTGAAACAAGCAAAAAAATTAAAATTAAAATGTTGATTAATGTGTTTTTTGGTAAGTTTTTGAATATGCCCATATGGTTTTTGTGTGAATTTTTGATATGTGATGTTTTAAGTTTCATATATATATATATATATATTACTTAATAAAGTTCTCGAGGAATCATTGATCAATGATGAAATTAGTAATAATCTAGCAATTTTTTTATAATGGGAAAGTAAAGTAGATCAAATAGGCCAAAGATCTTGTAGAGACCAAATTACTTTCCATGGAGTTATAGTTATATGATTTGCAATTTGTGTTTTTATATGTTTGTTTGAGTGAGGTCAATCTAAGTTGATCTAGTTGGAGCGGGATTAAGATCCGAGATCGATTTTATTCCAATGACGGAACTTTTTCTTAGTCTTATTTATTTTATTCTTGTTTTACTTTTATACTTAATTATTTGGTTTGAATTTAATTCTCTTTTATTTTATCCTATGCCACTAATTTTGTCTTTTTGTAGATTTGGAGTTATAAATCATTCATGAGTTTTGGTGGAGTAGTTATTTATTTTTAAATAGTTTGACAAGCTCATATGGGCTTGAGATGCATGTTTATATTGTTTTGGAATTTTATTGTAGACTTTTGGGTTGTATTATTATATGGTTAGGCAAGGAACTTGAGTCTATTTTCCATAGTCATTTTATTTTTATCTTTATATATGGAGATAGGGCTTAGCGGTCCAATTCGCTAATGGGCCTTAAGCCTTGCTATTTGTCCTTCCAATTGAGTTTCAACGGCCTAGTGACCTAATTATGTGAAAAAATAAGCCTTGTTTCGTCTCTCAATCACTTTGTTTAAAACTCGGTTAGAAAAACCCAATAATCAAATCATAAATCAAGATAAAAAAAACGAACACTAAATTAGACTTTACATGAAGAAAATTTCAAGATTAGAATTGAATTGTAACCTCATTAAGAGAGCACACTAGAGTGACTACTATCTTTTTTACAATGCAATCAACTCCTTCGACCAAAACTCTTAGACTAGTTTACTAGATTTGTTTTAGTTTTCACATTTAGAAAAACTAAGTGGTGACTCTACTATTTAAAGACATATTATTTTGGTGATTGTCAAGAGGTTATCATGTGATACTTAATATAAATTTTTAAATTTTTTCTAATTAAATGTTTTTTATTAAATTCATGCTAATATAACTATTAAATTGACTAGATTATAAATAAAATAAAATATTTAAATCTAGTTTTAACTACATTGTCGTTAATATAAATTTTTAATTATTCTAATCAATTATTTTTATTAAATTTATGTTGACATAACTATTAAATTGATACATTAGCATGCCGACATGTCCATTATACGAGTATGAATTTTTTTTTATTTCTAATCGAGGCTTTGTACTTTTTTATTATTTTATTAATTTTTTATAAGTTATTAATTTTAAGATCTAATAAATAGTCACCGTATAATTTTTTGTAAATTATTATTTAACTAAATAAAAAACCAACCTAGAATGTTAACGGTCAAAAGGTTAATTGTCAATGCTCAACCCTTTGGCCATTAAAGATAATAAATAAGGATCATATTTGTTAAAAAATAATAATTTATGATCCAATTAACCTAAATTAATAATAAAGATTTGAAATTGTCAAATTATAATAGTTTGAAAGTAAATTTTGTCATTAAATCGTAAATTGGGACTTTGTTGGTTTTGTCGGGTACATGGCCAGGTCATGGTGAAAGAACAGGTGGTCTTTATGTTTGTAACGGATGTAAGGCAACCAGGCAAGAAAGTCCAAGTGATGAGTTAGGGAGAAGGCAAACGATAACATAACAGAATAAGTTGGGCGATCCTAGACCAAACGAAGTGCCACTTATTTCATCCGTGTCAAGGTTATTTGGTGAAATCTCTAGAACCCTTGGAAGCTGCATGAGCTTGAAATATTTGTTGGCTAAGAAAGTCTAACAACTCCTAAACTTTAAGTCATTTGAAATTGAATCTTGAAATTTTTTTTATTGGTTCTGCAGATTTTTGAACTTCAGAAGTTTTGAAATCAAGTCTACCTAATATTTGTTTTTGTTATAAATCATAGAAAATGGGCATGTGAAAATGTAAAACACACGAGGCTGACTAAATATAACGAAAGATGGCTAATAGTTGTTATTTTTTTCTTTTTTTAAACCCTAAACCACTTAAACTAATGATGAATTAATATCTAATTTCACTTTTAACTGCTTTAATTCACCTACCAACCCACAAAACTAATTATTCTATCCGCCTTTCCCTTGATATGCGAAGGTCTCTCATTCTCTATCTTCAACTTTTTTTGCATTCTTCATATATTCATTTGTTCGACTTTAAGTTTTGAAGTTAGTGGCATAGTTAATAACGAAATTGATTTAGTGCATGGGTTCTAAGGTTCATTTGCATGTTGGATTTTGAAATAATATATGAAAAAGTAATTTGTTGGTCTAAATAAATTCAATTTGTTGGAAAGAAAGTGCTAGTAGCGATTGTTGACAGTGGAATTTTGGTGTTGGTTGGCTAGCGGCGTAGGTTTGAGGGAGATCAGAAAGTGGCTGGCTTTTAAGGAGGTCGAAGAGGTGGATAGCTTTTGAGGAGATCAGCGAGTTGACTGACGATGGTAGGAAGATTGTCAAGGTGGCTAGTTTTTTGGAAGATCGGCAATGTGGTTGGTATTTGTTGATAGTGGGAGAGTGAGAGGAGCGGCAATTGGCATGATGGTGGTTGGCGGTGAGTTTCAACTGGATTTGAGAGGAGTAGTAGCTAGCGTGATAGAGGCTGATGGTGAGTTTCCATTGGATTTGAGAGGAGCGACAGCTGGAATGATGGAGGTTAGTGGTGAGTTTTGGCTTCTACGGGTGTTCCAACGGCTGTGGATGATGGTAGTTCGATTGGATAGAATTTTTGGGGAAGAAGGGATTGTTGCCTTTTTTTTTTTTTTTTTTACAGTAATAATAGAGGAGCTTTTATATGTAGAGTTTTAGGGATGGAAGCCAAACTTCACTTTGATCCCCTATTTTGCGTGTATTTCCTATTTTCGTTCAATAACCTTTCTTTTCTTTTTCAATCAAGCTCCTAATTGAATTTATTTTTTTAGATCGTTGAATTAATGCAATTAATTGTGAAACTAAAATCAATTCATAATTAGTTAAGGTAGGTTAGTTTCATGAAAAAAAAATTTTAAAGTGTCAGGCTTTTTTTGTTATTTTTAGTTTGACGTGTGTTCTACATTTTCACATGCACATCTTCCATTATCTCTAATGGGAAAAATAAAAATAAATAAACTTAATTTTAAAAATTGTAAAGTTCAAAGACCCCTAGAATTAATAAAAAAGAATTCAAAACTCAATCTCAAATGACTTAAAAGTTTAGAGATGGATAGATCTTTCTGGCCATATTTGCACGAGGAATGGATGAGAGTAACAAGGGCGTCCTATAAATATAAGTTTAGAGATTGGGTTGGATTTAATACAATTGCTCACAAATTAACAGCAGATGCCGACATACTGCTCAGGCCCTCAAAGTTTGGGCCTTGTAAGCTAAATCAATTGTACGTGAGGTGTAGGGCGGTATCAGTTGCTCGTGACGCTAGTAGAATTAGAGATACAGGGCAGATTTTTTATCCTTGCGTTCAGGGAGGTTTTAGCGAAGGCACAAGATGGGTTCTCTCTCCACTATCGAGAGACACAGCTTTCCGCAGAGCATCGGAATGGATTCTCTATTAGGGTTGGAGTAGGACTTGGCAAGCACTACTTAATTGTGAATGACTGCGCTGGATGCAGTCTTGTGCCACCAGTGTTTTGGCCATACTCATCTATTGTCTCCTTTCGTCCGGAAGACTTGCTCAACATTGAACTCTCCTAGAAGCAGCCGGTGCCTCATGCTACGAATCCAAGTGTTTTTGCTAGAAGAGTTTACAATGGCGGCTCCTTTGCTATGGTTGTGAACAAGAAACGTGTTGGCAGAATGAAGCAGGATGGTGCAGATGAAGGAAGTCACTGATCAAAGTCTAAGAAGACTAGTCCTGATGGATTATCATTCCAAGTGGAAGGCAACGTTACACAACAGCCAGTAGGTATGGAACCAGTTCACTTCTACCATTAAGGTACATGAACCAGCGGATGCTTCGAGTGCTGAATACGGGCTTCGAGTGCTGAATACAATGGGCCCGTATTCGACATGCAACTTCTCACATCAAGAAAATTGATACAAATAAATACAATTATATTGTATTGTACATTACATTTTTCCTATTACCATAAACCCTGTTGTCTGCCCACGAGCAGGCTAACTTCCAGCCCCTTTTGCCCAAGTGTTCAAACCTCTGGACATCGCAGTATCCTTGGTGTATTGGAACTATTAATACTTGAGCATTAGCCAAGCATCATAAATATCTGAACTTGCGTTCCAACTTATACTAGATTAGTTACAAATCAACCTCGCATAACAGAACTATTCCTTCTGGAAAAATGAAAGAACAAGATCTGTATGTACAGAGAAGAGCTGTGTATCCACGAAAAGCTGCTTAACACAATGAGGGAAAAACGAGCTATCAGTATGGCACCTCTTCCATCCTTAAAGTTTAGACCCAATTGACAGCAAAATATAAGTATTGACACTCATAAAGCTGGGGTTCAAACAGCTATAAACTAATGAAAAAAACCAAGTTAATTTCCAGAAAAGCCATCAAGCATGACATGCAACCCACACACCCAAACAAGAAAAAAACACATTTCATGTCCAAGAAACAAACCTTCATAAATGGTCGATCACGACTAGGGAATGAGTCTATGAAACTCTCCTTCAAGAGCAATGATACCTGTAGATGGAATTAAGGACAGGCTTACCGTATTAAATGAAATGTTTGATCATTTGCCAAAGGTCACTAAAAATCAAAAGATAGCACAAGCAAGTCAAATCAAAACAAGGTCACCTCATAACCCTGGACATTTTTTACTTAAAGCGGTACAAGTACATACTTGCACTTAGCAGTCCAAGACGCCCATAATGACACTTAAATATCATGCAAATCTAAATGTCCCGTTTCTAATGATATTTCATACTTCGCAATTTAAAGATCTGTTTATACGAGAAAAGAAGATGATTCAAAAGAATTTAGATTACTTTGGCACTCTTCCTACCATATGATAGATTCTTCAGATGACGTTCTTTCTATGGACCATTAAACAGTTTGAAGGATCTCGATAAGCGTTCAGGTTCAGTAAAACACTAGGAGATGATTCATTTGCATATTTTGCTAAGCTTCAATTTAAAACAAAATCAGTACAATTTGGCACTCTCAAAAACACACATCAATCGGTTCACACAATTTATATTATATCTGATTAGATTAATCTTTTATTGCAATCATGTACTAGACATTAAGGCACCAACAAAGAAACATGTAAAACCATCCTTTTCTTTTAACCTTTAGAATTATCTCATTTTTCTTTCAAAATCCCCAAGTAAAGCTTTTTCTTTTGAAAACTAGGTTATACTTCTCAGGAGCATAGAACCATAAATGTTTGGCGGATTTCAAACAATCACAATGTGCATTCACAAAATAGCAATGGTCGTAACAGTAAACAAACATAAACCTTATCATTATTGGATTGTACGTTTGTTATTGTATGAGAACGCAGGTTAGAACAGAGCGAATCCAAGTAAGATCTTAAAACCACTAGAAAACCTTTAGCAGCTTCGACCTGTAGATAATTTAAATGAGACAAAATCAGCAAACTGAGTTTCATGACATTTCCCACATATTCATCAAATAATATGAGGCAATAAACAGTTCATCACATAAGGATTGATCCAGGACTATCAGAGTTTATTAATTAAACCTTTCAGATACAACAGCTTTGTCAAAACTAGAATGGAAACGAGGCAGTAAAATATCAGATCCACACACTAAATGGTTGAATTTATTCTTTGTGATCAGAAAAATCAATTAGCACAATGCTTGTATGGAGGTCAATGAAATGGTGGCGACAACCTTGTATAGTATATATCACAAAGACTACTGGCCTGCCTCTTGCTACAAGGACTTCATTTTGTGCTGGGACACAAGATGAGATCCTTAAAGACAGTCATCAAATAGAGTTCTGTATCACAATCTAGTGCAGCCACATTCACCACCAAATGTAATCTCAACTTTTTAGTTTCACTAATAATTAGAAAATTAACTGGTAAGGCAACAAGTTATAGAACCAGTCATCATCTTTGCAAAGGAAAATAAAAAATTCAAGTAATGGCTGTATGCAATCACTGTGCTACAAGACTCTTTCTCAAGTTTTCAAATACAATGACAAGCAATCATATGCAACTATACTTTACTAGTCTCCAGAAAATTCTTTCAATCAAAGAAGAAAGAGACTAGTAGCACTTCTGTTTTAAGGTCATGAAGGAAAGTGATGGTCAAGCAGAAGCACACCTGCACATCTGTACACTCATGCACTGGCCTTTTTCTGGCCAAATAGCTTTCTCCAACAAGCTTTGAATAATATGGACTTAGGGATGATAATAGCTCCCTGTGTTTTGGCAGTTGCGGTATTGCTGGTGACTTCACCTGTTACATCAAGCGATAAGAAATATACTAGATCATTTGTCTCAGCTTGTAAACAATACAAGGCATAAAACTATCAGTCCCAAAAGTTAGACAATTCATATTACTGAAAATGAATGGCAAACCTGATTCTTGTTAGCATCAACCAAAATGACATTGTTTAATTTTGATTGTACTTCACTGGTTTTGTTCTTTACACCAACCTACAGGTTGAAATAGTAAGTGGCAAACTCGACAGGTTAGTACCGACATTAGACAGAAAAGTAAGAAGATCATAGCAGTAAGATTATATCAAAATCAATTATTCGATATGACATTATACCAAAAAAATCAGGAGTATACAGAATTGCAACCGCAAGTATTTGATCTAATTATTTGACTATAAGCTGTTAGCTTGAATGGACAATAGAACACCAGAGCGCACAAAAGAAATGCAGCATCCACATAACACAATAGGTAGTTCATTCAAAGCAAATAGAGATCCACCACTTGAGGATAATGAGGCTGGAAACTGAATACTCACAATGTATGGAACAGGAGCATCCAAAAAGTCCAGCATGTCATCAGGTAAAATCTGAAAATTTGGGCAGATAATTACTAATCCAAGATATGAATATTAAGACAAATGTTATCTAGTCAACAAAACAGACAAGACTGCAGGAAATCATACCGGCATTAGCAAGCTTTGCCACCGATAGGGACGAATGAGAGGGACAATTGACAAAACTGAAGCAGACAAGATTCCCTGTGTAACAAAGCATTTGACATCAATACAACTCAAAATGCATTTGATGGCATATAAGAAGAGGAATATATTTCCAGTTATTTATAATTTCATGTATTCAGCAAGTTTATTGTTAAGTTTTCTAGTCATCATATTTGTAATATTAGGGTTTTATAAATTTTATCTTAGTAGGATTTATTTCCTATTTAGTTACGAAAGCACACTTATAAATTGCATTAAGGAGAATTTCAGTTCACTTTGAGAGGTGGATCTCTTGTTTCTTTGTTATTGTGGATTCAAGAACTAGTTTCTTGGGGATTCAAGGGTTGCCGAGTGGACTCTGGCAGATCGAGACCATTGGTAACTTAACCATGGATCTGACCTGCCTCGTCCCGAGCCTGAGTTCAGCACCTTAGTTTTCTTCTAAGTATTTACCTTCTTCAGTTTCAACCCATCTTCTACATCAGTATTATACCATCTACAAAAGTTTGATCTACCTTCTCTTTCAATTTCTACCCTTGTCCTGCATCAGTCTTATACCATCCACAAAGTTCAATTGCATGAAAAACTAATAGTTTCATTGTCTGAAGGATATGGAAGAAACCTAACACGAACATTTATGACACAACTGAGGAGCTTTCAGATTCAGCTAAGCTGTTCATCAACATCCAATAATTCTCCATGCTTATAAATTTGACTATGAGAAAGCCCAAAATCCAGTATAGATGAGAATATATCCATGCACTATTTGCTGCAGGGAGCTAGCAAGTAACAGAGCCAAGCTCTTAAAGCTAGTACCAAATCAGTAAAAAAAAAAAAAAAAAAAAAAATCTCAACTTCTAGAAGAAAAATGAAAATCCAACAGGATTGTGTAAGGTTGTCAAGCTGACATGAAGGGTAGATACATACCAAATTAGAACAAAGAACCACAATCTGCTTCTCTAGCAGGGCTCCTGCAAACAATGTCAAGATCTGCATGCATGGAGATTAGAACTCAGATTTTGGTTTCATATAACTATTAAAGACAGCAATAGAATCACTATATACATTCCAGTCACTACATCTCAGCATAAGAACTACCGAAACAATCATATGAAAATATCAATTACGAAATAGAAAACAACCAGGTTCAACATTAGCAACAAAAAGCCATATTGAAAGGAAATCATACCCACAGTATTGTCAGGACATTTAACTTATTAAGTCAAATTACACCAGCGGCATGGCAACTTCACTTGCCTTGTCAAGAATAGTGAAGTATCAGAAGCAATCAATATATACAACAGGCCAGCCAATTTGATGCATATCTCAACTTTGACCTCACCACACAAAAGAAACATAGTAATTACCCAGCATTGGCCAAGTATATCTCCATAGTTAAGATGAGCACACAACCATGATGCAATGAGCACACAACCGTGATGCAACTTTCCAATGCAAGCATCAATACACTATGTAATTTGCTCCCTTAGAATAGGGGTGAAACAAATTTAGGCACATACAGACACAGATCATGCATAATCAATGTTAGACTAGACAAGCACAATAGGCAACCAAAAATAGTACTGTTTGAAGAAATAACAATTGCAAAACTCAAGAAATAACAATTTCAAAATTCCAGCAAAGGCATTACATTCTCAAGTCGCAGGGATCCGCATATGCATGCTATGGCCCAAGTTGATAATGCAGTTGCTTCCTCCTCTGCCAAGAGTGCGCCATGTGCCTGATTAAGACAAACAGCAATAACATGAGCTAGTCTAAAAAATAATTACAGCTGATAATTCAAGTTGGAAAAGTCAAACTACATTTGACAATAGAAAAGAGACATTGTCCCATCCTACAAAGCCATCATTCTATCATTGTATCTACCTCTGCAGTTTCCAGACTTGTACTGCATGATCTCAAATCAATGGTTGAGCCATTAATATGTAAAACAGCTTCATCAGGTCTGTGATATCTCAAGGGATGAAGGTGCTCCAAAGGCTGAAATCTAAGAGTGGAACCCCTAGCAGGGCACTGTAAGCGGTAATACTCACACAGTATCTGCAATGATCCATGGCTGTTTGCCTGCAAAATAGAGATTATTCGACAACTTTTAGTAGTTGTTAGTACACGAGAATACTGACCTTAAAACATGAATAAAGCTACATCTAATACAAAACCAATGCAGACCTTAGCCCATTCAAGAATATCAACATGATCACTGGAATCTTCTTGGCCAGAAAAAGATGCCTCTTCAGTCTCTGTATCATCAACATCACTCCTAAAGTTTCTGTCCTCACTGGGAGAACCCTGGAAGCTGCATAGGCATTTTTACTGATCTAGTAAGAATGACATCTCCCCCATACACTGATGGATATGTATATAAATGCTGTGTAATTATAAAAGCTAATGTGGCAAAGCATGGATCATATTATGTAAATTAATAAACTCAAGACATGTAGGTATGAGAATTATTTAGTGAAGACATCAAAGAACACCATGATATATATACCTGGAGGAAGATTCAGAGCTTTCGTACTGATAATAGCGGAGGAGTGGCAGAACAGCATTAGGTAAACGTCTTTCTTGTGTTTGCTTGTTTGATGCAAAATCATCAACTTCACAATCTTCAAATTTTGCTCTACCAGATTCACCTTGGGCTGAAACCATCTCCTTTTCAGAATCAATAGGAACAACATCATCATCATCAGCAGCACCTTTCTTCGAAGACTGAATATGCTTCTCTAGAATTTGAGGCTCCACATGACTCTTGTCGTCAGCAAAACCTCCAGGTGTAGAATCCCTTAAGATGGACTGGGATATTTCTGTTGTTCCATCTGGTATGTCCTCTGCAGCTCTATGATTCATTGATAAACCATCTAAATTGTCACCTAAATTTTCTTCCTTGCAATAACCCTCTGAGGATTCCAAGTCTAAAAACCCTATATTTTTTGTTAATCGCTCTAACCTTTCTTCTGCGAAGATGCTACAAGAAAACAGTGATGAAAAGGTGAGATTCATGCTTTAGGCATCAGAAGCTAATCAAGTTTGATGTATTACATTTAGGAGTATCACTGCAAAAATATGCTTTCTAATTGCATGCCTTTGCTAAACACTATAATCTCTAGGTTGATAAACTATATACATTAATAACCAGCCAATACGATTAAATTAATCATATATAACCATAACTGTACCTGCTCAATAAACCAAAATGTAACTCAAAAAATGGAAGCCTTGAGAGAATGCAGTAACATCTGTGCGTGGCGAGCATGTAACGGCTCAAAGATGAGGAGGAAGACTGTTTATCTGAAAAAATAGAAAGCAATCCAGAGGGTTTTTGCACAATTTCTTCGACTAACACGCAACAACCATATAATGTTGAATCATCAGCAACCTAGGGAAAAAAAGTGTGAAGATAAAATTCAAAGAGTAGTACTATGGTTACTTATAAATAAACATGAATTTATAGACTGCCCACACAACATGGACCACTTCAATTACCACCAGAACAAAAGAATTAAATAAGATGAAGAAGAAGATTGGAAAGTTGCTGACCATGTGAAAAACATAGAATTAAAGAAAATTTGCTGCATGTAAACCAATTTCATGGTTCAAAATAGCAAGCAAAGAAACGTCCAGGGCATGGACTATCAAAACATTAACAGGACACGTAGGATATCTCATGTAGGAATTCATCTCAAACGAGAGAGTAAGTACATCAAAGCAGAGAAAAAGCGGCCCAATTTACCTGTAATCGAAAAACAAATGACAGGTCACTTTGTTTAAGGTGCTCCTGCAAAATAACAACCAGAATGATTGAGATGCATCTATGACATACTTAGAATCACAGAGAGAGAGGTGTAGAACACATACTTCTGTAACAGAAAAATTAATCTATGGTTACACACAGGCTTCAAGATTTCTTTTTGCACAACAATGCTTCAAGGTTGCGAATGCCAAACAACAAGATTAGCTTTCATAATCCAGAAAATCTTTCAATAATTTATTATTCTTTATCTAGCTGGCTCTAATGAGTAAACACCAATATTATTCTAGGCCTGTACTTAGATGTTATTGAAATGCAAGAGAATATGACCCAGCTAGAACTAAATTAAGAGGAAATTGTTGAGCCAACCCCAAGTAGTCACAATAGTTAGTCATGTTGAGTGCATGTGCCACACAAATTTGAGAATAATAAGAGTTCACATATGCCAACAGGAGAGTAAGGTATTCAATTTCTCCTTATCCGCAGCCAAAACCCATTGAGAATAGATATGTTAAAAACCAAAGCTTAAAAATGGTTTAACAATTATGATGATTTTAATTTTTATGAAATCACACAAGCACTAAATTATCAGCTAAATAAATGATTGTTGCATAGGTACCTGCCCAAGAAGAATTTCATTCAACTCGCTCATGGAAGGAGTTCTCTCAACAGCATGAACCTAGAATGTTACTTACCAAAGTTAAAACATACCCACCAAAGGCATATAGAGTTGATTAAAATATACAAAAAGCAGAGAAACAAAAATAACATTGAAGTTCCAAAATTCAACTCAGCTAATCCTCAATCCAGAAATAACAGAATTGGCATTCAGCAATTACTGAAGTCTCAGTGGTTGTTTTTTTTTTTTTTCCCTAATACTAATAACAGTAGATCACCCAGGTTCACATCCTGTGAAAACTTGAATTTGCAATGGTTAGGACTTCTTAAAGCTTATAATTTCATATGTTTGTACACTCCCCAATGAGAATTTTTTTTCATCCTGCACTCAAGGTATTGCCATACATCAAAGAACAGAAGTCCAAAATCAAATGTACAACACTTCACAAGGGAAAAAATAGAAAGTGGCACAATCCAATTGCCAGATTCATGAATTCAAACTATCAGACCATTTAACCTTCAACGTTTTAATCCTACTCTTTCAATTTATACAAGAATTAACAAGAAAAAATCAAAGGCTATGGGATAAAATTGTTTATATGGCCTTTTATGATAAAAATATAATAGGCCTCGTGTCCATTCTAGACAATGATTTCAAGTTTCCAACTGTTATAACATCGATCGAGAACAGAACTCCATAAAATTCAATAATTTCGCAAAAATTGTGCGATACAACTGGTTAACTGTTTGGTCTGACTGCATTAGGTGCTGCCCATTGGAACTAAGAACATACATCAAAAGACTAACCCCAAAACCTTGTTATCCCTTGACTATATTGATTGACATTCATAAGTTTCCATGGACATCATGAGCTCAATCTTCCTATCAAGTAAAAAAAAATGTCTAATTGATCATTCATAGATCTGCAAGAAATGTATGACATTCAGATCTCCACAGCCAAGAAAAGCAAAGGTCCATAACAAATTACAATAAGCACTCTATCAATCAGAACATATAAACTAATCAACTATTAAAAACAAAGGGCAAGAAACTAAGCAACCACATGTACAACCTCAATGCCTCCAGGGAAGCAAAATGATAGAAGATCTTTATATTTAAGTGGCAGCTGTTTTTCTGGAGGATAAACAAACAAAACCTGAAAGTAGAATAAATCAAATCATGACCATGCTTAAAAAGCAATTCCCCAGTATAAGATGTTACGTTATGTTAAACAAAATCCTCACCTGGGGCTCAAGAATGGGTTCTACACGAGACTGATTTTGACAACTAAGTCCACCTTGCAATATCCCAGAACCTTCAGACTTTCTGGGACAATATTGCCTCTGAAGTGCCTGAAGATCACAATTAGGATGAAGTCCAACAACTACCATGCTCTCAAAAAGCCTTGATGGCTCCTTTACAGGCCTATGGTCCTGCACACTTAAATAGAAAAGATATTAGCAAAGCACCAAAAATTTGAATTCCATTTTGTTCAGCTATTCATCAAGAGTCATGATAAAAACAAATGTCGCAAGGATGATAGAGCATCGACTCTGAGTTTAGACCTCAATTTAATATAAGCCACAGTTGTACTAAATAACAAAAGAAGCTATCATGAGATGAAAAATATACAAAAATAGTTAGACAGGAAGATACTAGTTAAAAATTGTCAACTCATGCAAGTAGCTTAAACATGAATTAATCCACTTCAACGAAATAGCATACCAAGTACTGTAACTGGAAGTTTGCCCACTGACGTTTTTGGCTAGTAAGAACTTCTGGATTATAAGTTACACTTTTCACTTCTGGTGGAGGAGAGGAAAACCCTTTTAGCATTCTGGTAAGATGGCGCTGTAGCTTCTGAAATTGGCTATCACCATGATCATCCTTGGACGAAAATACCACAGACGGCCTTGGCGATCGCACAGTGGTGGCTGCAGCTGCAACAGCGTTCGCAACATCTTCTGTTGTCTGCAAAATTAATGAACTAGTCCAACCAGAACCACCTGTGTCTTCATTCTTCACCATCCTCACAAATTCCCTCTACTGCCAAATTTTCATTCAAGTAAAACAATCAAGCCCCAAAAGAAGCAATCTACTTTCTTTTTTTTATCAAATAAAGATTGGAATTTTTTACCTTTAGACATTACTTGACAACTAGTAGAAACTAAACAACTAACAGTAGAAATTAACTTCAGTTATTTACCTTTATAACAAACTTTTTTGCAGTTACAGAAAGCTGTTGAAATCAAACAAATAAAGAAAGAAAAAAAAGCTGTTCTGCTACCACGAAAACAAAACAAAAAAAAAGGGTTCCTCTTCCTAGAAATAAACAACCTCAATTCTCTAAAAAGCTAATCAATTCAAGCATCTTAGAACAAAAAATTATTATCAATAACCATGGATGCTAATCACTGACTTCACAAACAAAATCAAGTTTTTTTTTAATAAACGAAAAAAAAAACCTCCAAAAATTGGCATGAAACAGAGAAAATTGTTCAATGATAATCGCGTAGAATTGGAAGGAAACGAAAGAAAACTGACGTTACCTTTATTAAATTAAATTAAGATATGGAAAGAAATAAACAGAGAGGAGAAGAGAGAGAGGGAACTTCAGGCGGCCATAAGAAATAAAGTGGTTTTCTTTTTCTTTTCCTTTTTTTTTCCGTTGAAAAGAAAGACCTTAGACAGAGAGAGAGAGAGAGAAGGATTATAACAGGCTAAGTTTGATTAATTGATAATTATGAATTTCAATTTGTCGGAAGCTACTACTTGGTAGAAGAAGAAAGAAATGTCAAAAGAAAGAAAAAAACAATGAGAATATGAATATAAAAAAGCTCCTCTTTTATTTTCCTCGGGTGCGTCGATATTTGCAAAACACCGAAAGCAACGGTGGTCAGTTTCTTCTGCTGCTTCTTGTTTGGTTGTTTGTTTCTACTTAGATTATTTAGACATAGACAACTTAAAAAATTATTTTATTATATTATTTTTATTCATTAGAGAGATAATAATCATATATTATTAAATATTTTTTACTTGGTAAATAAAAATAAACCTCCAATGTAATTGGACTAATCGTAAATTAGTCCATCCAATTTTGCAAAAAACAAATTAAATAATTATTCTAGTTTTAAAAACTATATAATTAGCTTCTTTTGTCTTCATATTTTTTAAATTTATTTTTTTTAAATAAAAAATGATAATATAGAATTACTAGAAAATAAGATATTTTTAAATAATATAATATAAATTAAATATGGTTAATATTGACCAATGTATTAATTAATTATTTTTAAAATTAGAAGAATTAGTTAATTCAAATGAGAGAAATTTATAATTTACTCATGTAACAGTGAAAATTTTTCTTTTCCACTATCTCACGTTTGTTTCGCCAAGTAAATTATGGAAAAAATATAAATTAGTCCCTTTCGTTTACTTAGCTCTCCTTTCTTTCAAAAATAATTATTTAATATTTCAAATTTTAATTTTGGTAATAATTTAGTGTTTTCATTAATTTTTATATCAGTAATTTTATCCTAAATTACCTTCTTCTTTTTTTTTTTTTTTTTTTTGAGAAGAGAGAAAGAACTTGAGTGAATAAGAAAAATAAAGCATCAAATAAAAAGCAATTTAGGATAAAATAACTAATTTAATAAAAAAATGATAAAAATGTTAAATTATAGACAAAATTAAAATATAAAAGATTAAATAATTATTTTTAAAAAACTAATTAATTTGTTTTTCAAAATAAGAGATACTCACTAAATTATTGTTTTATTAGTGACTCTTCTTTACATACAAAGAGCAATTTGATCGTTTGCATATCGCTAAGATGAGATACGTACCTAGCCTCTTATTTGATAAGAACAAAGAGCTTTTTGTTCTCTTCTTTTTAAAATTGTTTCATTCTCCTCCAAATATGGTTGTTTCTTAACTTACAATTCTTCCTCTAAATTGTTTTATCAAGTGTTTTTTATTTGAATAGTGCTCGTATTTGTATTAGTTTATTCATATTACTACTATTTTTTTTATTATGATCTACGCCTAAATTGATACAAATATTTTACGTTAATATAAAAGTTGGTTTTTTTATCATCTAAGCTAATATTTCAAAATGCTTGTTAATTGATATAAAAAGAACTAAAGATTTGTATAACAATGCTAACGTCGCACATAATTGATCTATATAATAAAATAATTGTATCATGTGCATGTAAGAAGAGGATGAGCTTGGCTTTTTTTAACTAAAAATTCATAAAAATAATTTTTTTTCAAACATGCTTTGCTTAAGTAAACTATCAAATACATAACTATCACACTATATCTCGTTTGTATACTTTTGAGTCAAAACTAATTCTATTTATTTTAGACATGCAGTTATTGATAAAAATAATGTATTTATTTTATTTATAAATAATTTAGTTTTGCTTTGTGATAAATGTAAAATATACACATCCCCTCACGTTTTTTAGAAAAAAAGTAGATACATCATCTTTTAAGTAGAACAACTATACAAGTACTTTTTTTCTACGGAAAATGTGAGAACACAAAACTAGATTCTAAGAAAAAAGATTTTAATAGCATCCGTAAAAAATATGAAAGAAGAGAATAATAGTTGTATTTGCCGTGTATGATACAAGAGTTACGACTTACATATATAGTAAATAGACTAGCCTATTTAGGAAGTATTAGTTGTACAAAGAGATAGAATTTTCTAACTTAGGTAACATAGAAACTTTCTATATTTGCACCATAAATTACTCTATTCTTAATTATTTCCTTTCAACACGCCCTCAAGCTAGCTTGTAAATGTCTTCCATGGCTAGCTTGCTTACAAGATAATCAAACCGAGTTTTAGGCAATCCTTTGGTGAGAATATCAACTACCTATTGATCCGTAGGAATGTAAGGAATATGGATTAAACCATTCTCAAGTTTTTCTTTGATAAAATATCTATCAACTTCGACATGCTTCATCTTATCATGAAGAACTAGATTATGAGCAATTGAAATTGCGAGCTTTACTATCATAATATACTTTCATAAGAAGTAAAGCCGAGAGTCTGTAAATCTTCCGAGTAATCTTTTAATCCATATTATCTCATAAATTCCATGCGCAATAGATCTAAATTCAATCTCAAGCACTACTTCGTGCTTGTAACACTTTGCTTTTTACTTTGCAAAGTGGCTAAATTTCTACCACCAAAAGTGCAATAACTCGATGTTGATCGTCGGTCAATAATGCTTCTTGCCCTATCGGCATCGGTGTAAACTTTTATTTGAACATTACCACTTTTTTCTAAACATCAACCCCTTTCCAATTGTCCCTTTAAGATACCTTAATATTTTGTATGCAACATCAAAGTGTTCTTTGCCCGAACATGCATAAATTGACTTACCATGCTCATAGTAAATGTAATATCGAACGAGTGTGTGATAAGTAAATAAGCTTACCAATCGAGGTGTTAAAATTTTTCTCTTTCAATAACATTTTCAACGATAGTCGGGTTTAGCTTCAAATTACCTTCGATTGGAGTCTAAGTCGTTTTACATCCTAGAAGGCCAATTTCATTAAGTAAATCAAGAATATATTTTTTTATTTACAAATATATCTTCTTTTGATCTTGCAAACTCCACACCTAGAAAGTATTTCAACACTACTAGGTCTTTAATTTCAAACTCTTCGACCAATCTTTTCTTTAGCATTGATAATTCATCAAGATCATCACTCGTCAAAATCATATCATCAACATATAGAATTAAAATTACAACCTTACCTTTATCGGAATATTTATAAAACATAGTACGATCAACTTGACTTTGGCGATATCCATAGCCCTTTACTATCCTTCCAAAATGTTCAAACCACGCTCCGAGAGACTATTTAAGACCATATAATGACTTACTAAGTTTTCACACTTTATTTCGGCCAATAGTACTTTCAAAACCTACAAGAGGACACATGAATACTTTTCCTTCCAAGTCATCATTCAAAAAGGCATTTTTTACATCTAGTTGTTATAGAGGCCAATTAAAATTGGTTGCAACGGACAATAACACACAAATGGAGTTAATTTTTGCTACTTATAGCAAAAGTTTCTTACTAATCAATACCATAACCCTTAGTAACAAGTCTTGCTTTGTATCTTTCTACACTTTCATCTACCTTGTATTTTACGAGTAAACACTCATTTACACCTCACTATTTTCTAATCGTTTGGTAATTCCATAATTTCTCAAGTTTCATTCTTCTTCGGTGCATCAATCTTAAACTCGCTAATTTCCACTTTGGATTATCAAGTGCTTCCCGAATATTTCTTGGGATAAATTAGTTAGAAATATTTGATATAAATGCCTTATGTTTGTAAGAGAGTCAATCACATGACGGATACTTTGCAATGAGATGATTAGTACAAGAATGAGTTCCTTTCCCGATGGCTATAGGTATATCCGGATCCTTAGATTCTGTTTCAATAGAAGTATTAGGGATAAGAGGAGAATTAATAGAAGGAGATGAAAGTCGAGGAGAATCAACATTACCTAAACCCGAATTTAGAGCATTAGATTGGCTTGGTGATGCTTCGAGTATAAATGATTCCCTACTTTTTGAATGAATTTTCTTCCTTGTATAAACAATAACCTCATGCTTATATTCCTTATAATTATTTAGTAGCGTTTCTCCCATTGTTAATGATTCCTCAATACTTGGTAGAATAGGATTAGGATGTATCACTTTGGGTAAAATATGCTGAGTATCCCAACTATTTTCTACATATAGTGTCTCCCCCGAAGAAAATTATTTCAAAAATAGAGCTGATTTGTAAGAAACACAACATCCATAGTAACACAAATTTTACGAGTTAATGGATGAAAACATTTATATCCTTTCTTATTTGCTGCATAACCAACAAAAGCATATTTTTTAGCTCGAGGATCAAGTTTCGATCGATCTTTCGAGGGATAGAAACATAACTTATTCAACCAAAAACTTTAAGAGGTAAGTGTGAAAAAATTCAACTATTAGTAAAA